TATCTAAATAAACCATTGCCTTACAAAGCTCTGTTTTGATTGTTTTCTTCATTTAAAGGTGTGGAACACTCATTTAATCAATCTGTTTGCAGTGGTCTCTATAGTAAGTTATACTCTGGGGAAAGTACTGATGCACCATTTTCAGGAACTAGAAGTGAGGCATATCAGAGGAGAGTGCCAGACGGCAGGATTTGGAGTCTTATTTCCTGATATTTGGACATCTCGCCTTGGATTGGATAACTGCAATGCGGCTCTACCACTGACTCTGTATGCTTTGCACTGATGATGTTTTTTCTACACAAATAACACAAGTCTGAAAGAGTTCTGCCATGTGGTGGAGCTGCTAATGGTAACAGTTAGCTTCTGTTAGTCGAGACATTCTCTGCTGTTTCCTGGACACTAAAACAAAAACAGACTTCCTCGTCACGAGTCAAGATGGGTGAGTCCACGAATGTTGTGAAAGTGACAGTGTGACGTAGATCTGTCAGGTGTTTCAAATCCTTGCTTTCACCATCTATTTTCTATCAGAATGCAGGAAATAGATGTAGAAGACTATTTTCAAATTCAGCCTGCATGAAAAATTGTGACCGATAATCAGAAATAATCTGGCCACTTCTCATACTGACTACTGTAATTCACTACTTTTTGGTCTCCCTCAAAAATCTGTACACAAACTTCAGTTGATCCAGAACTCGGCTGCCTCCAAAACCCTGTCCGCCAATCACATTACCCCTGTCCTGAAGGAGCTGCACTGGCTTCCTGTAAAATTACGAAACACTTTTAAAATCTTTCTCCCTGCATTCACCCCTCCATATCTCAGTGAGCTGTTGCAAATTAGCATCCCCATCCGTAGTCTCAGATCTTCCTCCTCCATCCATATCTCAGTGCCCCCTTCCCTTCTGTCTACCATGGGGTCCAGAGCATTCAGTCGCTCTGCCCCTCACCTCTGGAATTCTCCTCCACCTGAGATCTGCAACACTGACTCCATTTTACTTTTCAAATCACATCTCAAACCCTATTTATTCAAAACAGCTTTTTGTCTGTGAATCTCATTTGTCATTTGGTATCTGTTTTATTGTTTTTAAAATGTTTTATTGATTTAATTTAGGTGATTTTACTTGGTTTTATCATGCTGTGTTCTTTCTTATCTTACTGTAAGTGCCATGAAAGGCACCTATATATAAAAAGAATTATTATTATTATTATTATTTAAAAACATTTCGGTGTTTCATAACTTTAACAGCAGCAAATGCTGGTATTTAATCAATTTTCATAAAGAGTTTACCAAATACTACTCAAATAAAAAGTATAACTTTTATTTGAATAAAAAGTAACATGCTCTGGTTTGTAAACATATTACTTTTTATTTTGTTATTTAAGTGACAAATTGAATATTTATTTTATTTCAGGAAAAAAATTTAACCGTAGCATAAAGCACTGCTTGTTGCCATGACGTAACAGAGTACAGTTCTCTTGCAAATGCCGTCCTCGTCCTCTCGTACTTGGTAGACAGACACCTGCTGTACTTGACAAGAACGTACTTGACAAGTACACATAAGCAAACTAGCATACTCAGGTTTTGAGAAACGGCCCAAGTCTGTGCCTTAATTCAACATCGGTTGGACAAGAGCAGCAGTGTTGTGGAAATAATGTTAGCCAGCGAAAAGAGCAGCCCAGAAGTTAATTCTTAAAACCATAAGAAGCCACAGAATATTTTTGTTTTACCAACATTGGGTAAGGAAGGCACGAGGCTAATGTTGAGCTAACACTGCTAACAGCTAATAAGAAAAAAAGTCTCAAGGTACTTTTCAATTACCAACAACTCAATATTACAGTGAAATGTACTTATCTACCTATCAACTTACTGTGCTTGACTTTATTTGCTCATCATCTATCTTCTGGTGCTGAACCATAACTGGAACAGCTATGCAGAGCATACTTGTTTGTTTTGATGCATAGACTGCAGTACCCACATTTGACTACAGGGTTTCATTCTTACTCCATGCACATTTAAGTTAGAATATCAATCTCGAAATAAGTTTTAAAAAGGCTAAAAAACTATAGGTAAAAAAAAAATAAATTCCTAAAATTGACCAAAACAGCCCCCTGGCTCCTTTAAAGATAAATATGAAATGATTTGTCTGCTCCTGCACAGAATTACAATTGTATTTAGTGACACAAACATGTCACTTGAAACGTTTCCTTTTTTTAAAATTTTGTCAAAAACATGCTGTATTTGTGTTGAATTTATTTTCTCAGTTTTATTCATTTTGGAGGAATATCTGGGGGTTTGCGTTAAATCTCTCCAACGTAGATGTGTAGAAGAAACTTTCAGCCTTCTATCTCTCTCTCTCTCTCTCTCTCTCTCTCTCTCTCACACACACACACACACACACACACACACACACACACACACACACACACACACACACACACACACACACACACACACACACACACAGAAATCTGACTTTACTTTCAGCCTGGTGTGTTTTTTGAAACAGACTCATTTTTCCTCTCTGCCTGTGAGTGAATCCATTCTTCAAAGACAACCCAAACAGATGGGAGCTCTGGGTTTACTGTGTTGAGAGCTGACATAAAAGCTTGACAAAAGTACAATTTGATGCATCACCTACCAGGAGAAGATCAACATTAAGGACTGATTATGTTCAAAGGAATCTACTCCAGAAGCCAGACTAGAATTTTCAGAGATGTCAGTCTGAAGAAAGGCTTTCATACAATCTGCTTCCAGACTTGAAGTAAGAATTTTTGTTAGCTCAATTTGTTTTTATTCAAAATTGAAATGTCCTTTTCAGGGGCAGGAGACCTGCACCTTCAATGGGCTGGGTAAAAAAAAAATAATTAAATGACTGAAATTACAAAAATACCAGCAGGATTCTTGGAGTTACTGACGAGTTTGAAATAGAGTGTGAAACAAGCTGGTGGGTGCTCTCATGTGGGAAACATGTTGCTTGTCATAAGAGAGGTGAAAAAGATTTCCTGTATAAAAACACTCAGTTTGCTGCTTTGACAAACAGGTCACAAGTAGGTGGTGTGATTTTAGTTCTAATTAAAGTGTGATTAATACCAGCAGTCCCAACAAATGTTCCCAACTAGTTCCACTCCAGCTAAATTACAAGCAGAATATTCACATCCAGTCTAAGATGCACAAATAAAACCCTCCAGTGTTACATTCATAAGGACAAAACGAAGATGTTGCTCTCTGATGAAAAAGAAAAAGGTAAATACTTCAGTTTGAATTTAGATTTTTTTTCATTCATCCATATTTAAAATTGGAGTTCTATTTTATTACTTTAAAACTGTTGTGTGTTAAAAATGCTAAAAATCTAATCTGAAACAGACAAACGTTTATTTTGAAGAGCTATGCTGAGGTGAGAAACATTGATAAAACAGAAACAAATTAAATCTAAATTATTATAAACTATGTTTCAAGCTTCTAATTTTTTAAACTTTTCAAAGTTTAAGATCAAAACTTAAATTTCAGTTCCAAGTTTCATTTCCTCAGTAAAAAAAAAAGATAACTAAACAAAAATCATGGTCCTGATGTTAAGAAAGAGGTTTAGGGCGACAGAAAACAAAAGAAAGAAAATTCTGACTTTAATCTCAGAATTCTGACTTTTTTTTAACTTTGTTAATTTTAACAATTTAATTCTGAGAAAAAAGTCAGAATTCAGAATGTAATCTCAGAAATAAATCAGAATGACCACCCTTTGACTTCAAAAAAGGCACACACTGTTTAAGGTTCACATTCACAAAGTCAGCGATTTTGTGGGACTCTTTTAGCTAAATGGTGCTGAAGATAATTTTTAATATGTGGGAACTGGACAAGGATGAGTCAAACTCTGTTGCCGAGTTGAGGTTTATGCCACAGGTCAAACAACAGGTTGTGGTGAGTTCAGCAACCAGACACAAAGTAGTCTGACTACATCAGCAAGGTCTTGCCTAGGCAGAGAATTGAAAGCAGATGATTCATGACTGAAGATCTGCTGAAAGAGGAGCTGAAACAAATGAACAAAGCTAAGGACCGTAGAACAGAGTGGCAGTGAAAGGACTCATCATGCTTGTTTTCCTTTGAAATCCAAAGATGTCATTAGCTCAAAATGGGCAGAAACCAGCTAAAACCAGGTTTATAAAATATCTACTGTTAGGAGAGCTCTGGCCAAAATGCATCTTCATGGAAGAATGGTGACCAAAAAGCTACAAAACCTTCATGAAAACATGGTTAAAGTTGTCAATGATGGACAAAAATACAAGAACTAGTCGCAGTAAAATGGCATCAGGTACTCTGGATTTCTGAGTGAAAATTTAAATATTTGTCTCCTGCAGAAAGCAGATTGTTTTCCGTATAGAGACTGAAGAGCAATACAGTAATGAGCGTCTGCAGGCAACACAGAAGCATGTTGGTGGTTCCTTTGGGACTGCATTTCTGCAAATGGAGTTGGGAATTTGGTCAGAAATAATGGGGTCCTCAATGCAGACTCCTATCCATCATGCAAAACCATCAGGGAGGTATTCTGCAGCAAGACAACAGCCTCAAATGTGCCATTAACAACGTAAAGTAGACCAGTGCATCCTGGATTTGACAGTATGATCTGCGTAGAGTTCAGCTCTTTGCATTGTTGTTTCTGATTTTACACGAAGGGAGAGAAGGATCTGGGTCAGCACACATCCACAGAAGACCTGCTGTTAGTTTTCCACGATGTTTGGAATAACCTACCTGATGATTACATTTCAGTTACTGTGTGCAAGAGTATGACAACAAACGTTGTTTTCAAGGCAAAAGGTGACAACAAATATGGAGTTGGAGCATATTTCTGTGCTAATATTTTACTTAGCCTCAGTCATTCTAAGCACAACTTGCATTTCTGAAAGTCTTCAGCATAATTTGTCTCGCCTCTTCTTTGGGAATGTGCTTGATATAATGTGACTAACTGGTAATCCATTTTAACAAAATGCCTAATCTTAAAGTCATGACTTACTGCCGTCCACCATGTTCCTGGGTTGTCCAGGCCACAGTTGTCACTGTATTCCAGGCAGCAGGAGTCTGGCACGCGGGTGGCGTTATAAACCTCAAACCAGTCTGTGTGGTTGGTGACTCCACAGCAACGAAACTGCACAAGAAAAAAGTTTGAGAGCATCAAACTAAATCGTTGTTTCACAATCATACATCTAATGACATCTATCTCCTAAGAATAACTTCTCCTGGCTAAAACATTTCGTAGAACATGCCTGATATTGATCTGCAGCTGCTTTCGTACATCTCGCACCAAAGCCATCATTTAGATTTCTAACTTGCCTGCTTATTTTAATCTACATCTCCCTGCTTTGTGATTGCTATAGATTTTTGATAAGAGGACATCATGACTTTCAGCAGGATTCAGTTCATCAGCGTGTGTGAACAGATAAAGTGCCCCCGATGTTTTTGTTCATCTCTTGAACTTTAATTTCAGATGGGAAATATGCTGTCCGAGTCGCTCCCTGCGGCAGAGCGTGCGCGGAATTACAAACTACATGTTAATTTAAAATTTGCTCACTCGCCCAAAGAATACACCAAGTTTGCAATTTATCATGGAACACCACTGAATCACCTTTAAAGCATTAGAGTTTGAGAGTAGAGCAACGCTACAGTTTACCCAAACGTAACCACCTTGAAAAGTTAATGACCAGATCGACACGTGACTCTTACAGATTTATCACATCTGCATTCACTGGATGCATTAGGGGAACCTACTGCTTCTACTTCTGACTGCTCTCCTACATGTAGTATGTACACAGTTCTAGTGTCCATAAATATCCATTCAGTGACTCAACATGTATGGAAGAGGCTTAGGAAAGGGGTAGTAACAGAATAAGAGCTTCCTTTTAATGTTTTTTGTCTCCAACAGACTTTGTAAAGCTCCACATTCATACACACACAGGTGCACGCATGCACACACACACACAACACTGATGTTACAAGGATACAAGCACACATTCACACAGGCATACCTAGAATTTCAAACGAGGGCTTATTCAAGCAGATTCTGTTCATCCTGCACACCATAAATAAGAACCCTGCACATTGTCGCCCCCACTTAGAGATACAGACCTGCATTTATTTGCATGACATTAAATTTCACTGTCATCTTTTATTTGTTTTTCTGTTTGCCATGGACACAAATCCACACAATACAGTTTATGGACAAAAGTTTGCACACATGCAAACACACCAAAGGCAAACTTTAGCTAGTGAAACAAAACTGCTGTAGTCTCAGCTTTGTGTTCAAGATCCCTGAAGCCACCAGTCTGTAATTGGAAGTCACCTAAAGGCTTTTATTTTTCAGTTTTAGCTGCAGCATCAGCATCGTACAATCCCCAATTCCAAATCTCCGTTTCTCACATTGTGTTTTCTTTGCAGAGGAATTAAATAAAAAGGGGGTATAAAATAATCACAAAGGAAAAAGCACATGAAAGCAAGAGCTGTGAAAAAACAAAGATAAGCTCTTAAGATGTTTGCATTAATCTCATTTTATAGGGCTTTAGTCAGGAAGAATCATGTGGTGACAATTCTTTGGTCTGATGCAATAGTTGAATCCTAATCTTTTGTTATTTTGCTAGCCTGCAAATGTCCAAATGCCTTTGGTGGTAATGCAGATCACATAAAAAATAAATAAATAAATAAAATACTGTACATGTAAAAAAATGAATAAAACTGTGTTTAGTGTGTCTGCTCAGTCAGAATTTAATAGGTCCTGGTGGTATAAAACGTGAAAACATGCCTTTAGCTAAATAACCGTTTCAATAAATAATGCAGTCAAACCGTCTTGTAGCTCAGCTCGTGACAGGTGATTGTGCCTCTTGTCTCAGTGAATAGTGCCAAGGTTAATATTTAACAAGCTTTTTTAAGCAGCATAACCTAAGTGTTTTATCACCCCCATGTACCACCCACCCTCCCAGTTCAGAGTTTCACATCTTACATCAGTTTGCACTATCATCCAGGCGTTGGTCAAACCCACGTTGCCTTCAGTGCCAAAGAGCTGGAGGCCCTTCTTCAGATCCCTCTGTGCGTAGTGATCAATCTGGAGGAACAGGAGAAGAATAAATACTATAAAGATACAAACATCACTTCTGCTCCTGCTTGACTCTTCATTTGATGTGTCCTTTTTCTTTACGATGCTGCAAGTGCTTCTAAGTCAAGTGGCTGCAAATAACCTCTCAGAGTCTCAAGGAAAAGTCAAACCAACAGAAACAATTAGCTGTTTTTATATAAACCACGTTGGAGGAGGATCTGTTTGCTTATTGTGCACAGCGGGCTGAGAAGACTTTTCTTGTGAATCCGAGCCATAAATGAACCAAAGTGATTGTAGTTGGAAATAAACAGCACAGAATGCCTCAAGTCACGGGTTTTTTACGGTCAAGGTATGCTTCTGGTTTTTAAGAAGAAAGCAAACAGACTTAGAAAAACAGAACAATGTAAGAGCAAACAGAAGAAGAAATTGTGTTGAAAAGGGTTCATAATTTTGACTATATTTAGTGTAAATCTACAATAAACATAGGAAATGTCATTAAATAACAATATATCAACATTAAAATAAATATTAGTTAATAAAATAAAATAAACTAGACTGATGTGCCAACTCTCACCGATGGTCACAAGAATTGGACTGCAAGCAGAAGTGACTGAAATGAGCTTTCTCTGTAGGATGGCCCTATGAACAGAAGACATGATGTCACACAAAGACATGCTGTCTTGATGGATGCTGCTCGTGTCAGCATGTGATCTTGCAGCTTCTTGCCTCTAGTAATGGAGAATTGTGCTATCTGTTATACTTCAGTGGATGAAAAATCTGATGATTTGTGACTATTCAGATTGATTTAGACGATTTAGGATCAGATAAGAAAGTGGCCTGGCTCTTTGAATAAATCTAATTTATATTCATTGTTTAAAAAGATCAGATATGGGACTCATAATGTGTTAAAAAGTCACAAATGGGCAACTTTAGTCCTGAAGCACAAAAATGTCCTTGAAGAAAAGATGAGGAGTGCCATCATCCACGGGGAGCATGACCTAGAGAGGCTGCTCCTCCTTACTGAGAGGATTCAGGTGATGAGGAATGGGCTTCTGATTATGATTCTTTTATTGTGGCCTTATTCTGGAGGTTTTCCAGGCACGTTCCACAGTGAGAAGACCCTGGGGCAGATGCAGACCCACAACTCACTGGAGGGCTCATGTATCCACTCTGGCCTAGGAACACCCTTCATCTTCCTTAAGGAGCTGAAGGGGGACCTCTGTGACCTAGCTTTGGTTAAGTGGTGGAAAAAGCATGAATATAGGATGGATGGGGGAAAAAATAAGAAAATGCTTGTTAATAAATTCTGGTTATCAATTTGTTGGTTTAAAAGGTTCACTTTTGATTCTTAGCATAATTTTAATGTTATGCTTTAGAACAGTGGTTCCCAAACTTATTTAGCCGCGCACCCCCTTCTATGTCCCGACCATGTCGACGCACCCCCCCCCCCCAGCCCCCACATCGGGGCATGGCTCTATCTATCTATCTATCTATCTATCTATCTATCTATCTATCTATCTATCTATCTATCTATCTATCTATCTATCTATCTATCTATCTATATAAATATATATATATATATATATATATATATATATATATATATATATATATCTATATCTATATATATATATATATATATATATATATATATATATATATCTATATCTATATATATATATATATAATCAGATGTCAAGCTAAACAGAGAGGGTTAAAAAAATTCCCCATCACTTTCATTTTTTAAATAGTAATTAATAAACATTCGATACCATTACAATTTCCTTTGATTTCATTTTAAATAAATATTTAGAGTGCCCAGGTAGCACATAAACAATGCAATTTAACGTTTTTTTAAAGTAGGAACGTTTAATCTGTGCGGCCAGAGCGCTCTCCTTCCTTCTGCTCTGCGTAAACCTGAGCTGATCACCTACTTGTGCGTAATCAAATGTCAATAGGGGACAAGATATAGCCATGATGTTCACTTTTACCTCAGACCGACTTATTGCTGTTTTATGGTGTGGCTGAATCTGTGATCCGCTGTCATGCGGACCGGAATAACACATGCTGCAGTAACGTGAGATGTGGTCAGGTTCATGAGGAGTCACTGGCTGGAGCGGACCCGACTCATCCCAGAAGCTAATATCTTAATTTGACCTTGAATGAAAAATAACCTCTTAAAAGTTGTTATCACGGTGGGGGCAGCGTTCATTTCTGCCTTCAGTCTGACGGCGGGCCGGAGTTAAAGCAGCGTGTGCGCTTATTGAATCTGTGTGTGTGTGTGCGCGCGCGCGCCCCGCGCGCGGCACAGCCGCTCAAGTCACCGCGTCTCGCGCTATTTAAACCAATGTTGTAAAATTCCTTCTGCCCAGCCCAGATGTGCTCACTTGTGCACCCGTGAGCCGTGGTTCAGCCGGAACGCGTCTGACCTCTGACAGACGCACTCTGAACTTCAGATCTTCAGCGCGCTGTCAATAGCCTGAATGGGAATCATTTCTTGTTATTTTGTTACATCCACAATGTTCTGTGTGTGAGGTTTACAATGTCAGAACACCTGCATGAGACAGGTGTTAATTACAATCTGCCAGAATGACTCACCACCTTCAGATTCCTCCAACACCGTTAAAAATGATCAAATACGGAACATATCGGCGTGCGCAGGCCAGAGTGCTGAAGCTCGGCGCATTGTTATGATGATGCTAGGGCACATGCGGAGGACACGCGCGCGCGACGGAACATATCGGCGTGCGTAGGCCAGAGTGCTGAAGCTCGGCGCATTGTTATTATGAAGCTAGGGCACATGTGGAGGACATGCGCGCACGCAAAAATATACTTGTTTTCAATTACATTTATTGTGCCCACTTACTTTTTCTTTGGCCCACCCACAAATGAGTTTCTACGCTAATGGTGACATATGACAGACTTCTCTGAGCTCCGCAGCCATTACACTTTTCACCTCGTGCAACCCCTAGCGGCAGCTCGCGCACCCCTGGGGGTGCACACTTTGGGAATCCCTGCTTTAGAACTTTAGAACGCCTTGGGGTCCTGCCGGAGGAGCTGGTGGAGAAGGCCGGGGAGAGGACGGTCTGGAGCTCCCTAGTTGGGATGCTGCCCCCGCGACCCGGACCCGGATAAGCGGAGGAAGACGACGACGACGAGACGGCTTTAGAACTATTATGTTTCCGCATTCATCTGTAAAATGTTAAAGATGTTTTTTTTTAACAACGTTGAGTCAGTGGCATAACAGAGGCACAAAAGAAAACCACACTGTGGAAAATAGTAACTGCTGCAAGTAAGCTGCTGGGCACTTGTTTGGATAATTCAGTTCACATCTGTAATGCTAAGTATTCTGAGTATTCTGCCTGATCAGAAACATCAAACTGTCACAGTCAAAACAGTCACTAGTTAAAACAATAGGTAGGTCGATTTTTTTAACTGTCTGCATGGTCTGCACTTAACACATTTAGGTTTAAAATGGCAATATGCTTTTTAATCAACCATTTTATTATTTTACTTTACCTTAAAGGGATATTCCACCCCAGAGTTAGATGAATGGGAAAAAGCAGTTTGTGTTAGGATCAGTCATTTTCCTAATCTGACTGTATTCCATTAGCTTAGCATAAACTATGTAAGTGAATGGTAACAGCTGGAATTCTATATGAAATGTCATGAAAATTACTCCATAATGATCATTATTTTTTTGGTGACCTCAATAATCATATCGACTGCAAATGAAAATCTGGGACTACATTATGACAAAGCACCGCTGTAAGCCACTGCTGCAAAGTGCAGCGTTGCCTCTCCTGCAAGGAATTTCATGGATGTTTGGAAAAGGCACATTTTAATGTATCAATAAAACCAAAACTAAAACCAAAATTTGTATTGTTTAAACATCTTGTGTCTGTTCTTGTTAGATCTCAGTGCTGCCTTTGACACAGTTGATCACAATGTTCTTTTAGAAAGACTTGAACATGTTGTAGGGATCAAAGGAACAGCGCTAGGCTGGTTTAAATCCTACCTGTCTGACAGATTTCATTTTGACAAAACTTCTTCATACTTCAGTGCTACTTGTGGAGTGCCACAGGGTTCAGTGCTTGGACAAGTACTTTTTACTATATGTATGCTTCCAAATGGTAAAACCATTAGACAGCATGGGATAATCTTCCACTGATGATACTCAGTTATATTTATCCCTGATGAACCTAATCAGTTGGGTAGATTACAAGCTTGTCTTGAAGACATAAAAAATTGGATGACTCTAAACTTTCTGCTTTTAAATCAAGACTAAAGTTCTTATCTTATCTTTGGACCAGAACTTCAGAAAAACTAACTGCTTAGTTAATCACCTGACCTCAATGGCATTAAATTAGCCTCCATGAACAAAGTATAGAACCTTAGTGTTAACTTTGACCAGGACATGTCATTCACACAATAATCCCACAATAAACAGGTTTGTAGGATTTCCTTTTTGCACTTTTGGAATATTGCTAAGATGAGAAGTATCCTTTCCAGGAGTGATGCTGACAAACTAGTTCATGCATTTATTACATCAAGACTGGATTACTGTAATTCATTACTCTCAGGAAGTCCACAGAATGTAGTTAAAAGTCTTCAGCTTGTCCAAAATGCTGCAGCTAGAGTTCTGATGAGAATTATAAAGAGAGATCATATCTCTCCTGTCTTAGCTTTCCCACATTGGCTGCCTGTTAAATTCAGAATAGATTTTTTAAATTTAATTTATTTCATTCAAAAGACAAAAAATAAACATAAAAATAAACACAAACTCAAACAAAGTGTATACATAACACAAAACAAATTTGAATGAAAAGGAGCAGATGGAAAAAATATCTTGTAATTTCCACCCCTTTTTACAAAAGGAAATTATTAACACATTCTAAATTTTATTTGTCAGACATACACAGAATCATTTTTAACCACAGATGTTTTCTAAATTTCTGATTTAATCTGATATTTTAAAATCCTCCTTCTAACATATAAAGCTCTTAATA